TAAGTCTTAAACTTACTATACTAGGTTTTGGCACGTGCAATGCACGTGGTAAAATACAATGATTAAGTATTTTTAATTTATTTTCTTAATAAATTTTATTTCTCGGTTTCACTTTACTAGTTTTGCTCACTTATGTCTCTAAACTTTAACATTGTGATTATTTATTTTCTTTAATGTTTGTTTGAATGGACTATACATAATATAAAACTTCATGTTGATAATTGAATTGACAGAAAACAAATATAATCCAAAGATAATTTGAATTTTCATGTTATTTGAACAGACATGAAACCAAGCTTGACTTGAGAAAGTATAGTATTTGAAAATAAAAAAAATACTTGAAAAATAGTGCTATAAAAGCAAGACAAATAATTAAAGACGATAAGCTAAGATGATTGATTAAAACTCGTCTGGAATGAAGCTAAAGAGAATATGAAGTTGTTCCTAATTATTGATATGCTGCACAAAAAATTATAAACTAAATATTAATACTAACTCTATTACACTTTTATATGATCATAAGCATATAAAGTACTAAAAATAATTTTAAAAAATCCCTTCTAAATAATCCTAATTTTACTCAAAAAAATTCATATAATATTCAGAGAATAGATTTTTTATTCCTTCTTTATTATTTTTGAGATCAATCATTCTCTACCTTTATCTTTTTTATGCAATTCTAGAGTGGTGTATTCATTGTCTATATCGATTGTGATATCAAGCTGGTGGTAGGTTTCTTGTTGTTATCTTTCCTTGGGATCGTTCATCTTTTGTCTTCTCATCTTACTTCACAAAGTAGTTGCATGTATTTTTTATGTTTAATACAAATTTTTGGAAAATACATGTTTTGATTATTTTTCTATTTTAATGAGAATAAAGGTTAATTTCATATATATATAATTTTTGTGTTTCTAATTTATTATTTAAATAAAGTTACGCGTTTCTTTTTTTTCTCTTTAATGAATTTTTTCGTTGCGCTTGGAGTATAAATGAAAGGAGTAGAACGAAGTGTCACTTTGGAAAACATGTGTATTGAAAAATTTAAAAATCCATAGGTTCCCAATTTTAAAGGAGTTCATGCCAAATGGTTCCTCTCCGTCAAAAAGACCTTGAAAAATAAATTCCCAAAGTCTTGCGGCAGAGTGTGGGATTTCACAAAAGTCACAGTTTCTTGTTGATCGACCATACGGGGAAAGTGAAGACGAAAATAAGGCTTTCTCTCGTCAACTAGAGCAAGCAATAGATCTTTGAGAGTTTAGGTCAGGTTCATGTGGGACGATAGCTTGTGAAGAAGAGATACTACTTAACTTTTATCCTAGGTCATTGACGATTCTATAATATTTATCATTTGGACATTCTTATTAACATTTCTATCTACCTTCTTGTTGCAGTCTTTGTAAGTATGGAACCACTTAACTCTGTTGAAAATGGTAGTTATCTTTGCATTATAGGTACAATAACATGTCTGTATATTAGTAAATTTTTTTTAGGTTTAATCGTGTGAATTTTAGAATAGCTCTTGCAAGATCATACCTCTTTCGAATGTTGTGATGAATATATATCAGTAATTTAAAATTGTGTTGAATTTTTAAAGAGCCTTAATGGAGGCGTTTCTGTCTTTGTAGCTTGTTCTGACTATATATTAGCGTTAAAATGAAATAATTTTTTGTGTTATATGGATGTTAGCTTGGTTTACTTATCATTCTCTTATGTCTTCAGTAAGTTGTATTCTTGGGTTGATAAGTATTGTCAGCATAATTTACGATGACATGCATATCTCCCTTGTAAATTTAAGATGAATATAAGATAAATTTTATGTTTAGTGATTTTTAATAAGAATTTTAGTAATGAAGTATGTTCCCTTCATATTTAAAGATGTCAAAATTTGAATACCAAACGATTACTCTTTTCTTTGCCAAGTTTAGAAATTTTTGCCTTTTGTGATTTTGAAAATTTGAGGTATGTTTTACAAAATTTTGAAACTTTGGTAGTATTTTTTTTTAAAAATTTAAATTTTAAGTTTGGTGTTTGTAATTTTCATGTTTCTGTGTTGGTGGTAAGTTTTTAAATATTAGGATATTTCTTGTAATTCTAAAATTTTGAGGGTGTGTTTTGTAATTATTAAAAATTTGGATTTTTTTGTAAAAAGTAAATTTTTAGGGATCTTATAATGATTTTTTGATTTGATGTGTACTGGTTCTAAGTTTTGAAATTTTAGCGTTTATTTTGTGATTTTTAAAATTTGAGGGAATGTTTACAATTTTTATAACATTAAGGTTGCTTTGCAAAGTTTAATTTTTTAGGTGCATAATGGTAATCTATTGAATTTATTTTTGTTATTTGTAAGTTTTGAAATTTTAGGTTGTTTTTTATAATTTAAATTATTGAGGTTGCTTCCATAAAAAATATTGAGGGTGTTACTTGTAAACTTAGAGTTCTTTGGGGGTCGTCGTTAATTTTAAGATTCCATGTTTGTTGTTTTAAGATTTGAAAAGTCATGGTGTTCTGCGTAATTTTAAACTTTTGATAGTATTTTGTGTAAATTTTAAAACTTTTTAGTTTTCTTTTGAAACTTTTCATGTATTATAATATGTTACTATGTATGATTTCTTAATATTATTTTTAAATTGTTAAACTATAGTTATTTCACGTTGGATTAGTAAAGGATACAACTAGTATTAGGATATAAGTAATTTGAATTTGCGTTGCATTTATAAAGAGCCTTGATATAGGTGTTGTTGTCTTGGTAGCTTGTTCTGACTGCATATTAGCATTAAAATATAATATTTTTCTTTTTTGTGTTTCATGGATGTTTTTTTGGTTTATTTATCATTCTAGCTCTCATTGCTAGTAAGTTGTATATTTGAGTTGTAGATATTGTTGACACACTTTACGATGCCATGCATATTTCTCCTACAAAGTTGAGATGGATATAAGGTGAATTATATGTTTAGTGATATTTAATAAGAATTTTAGTAATAAAGTATGTTCCCCTCATTTTTAAAGATCTTTAAATCTGAATATCAAATAGTTACTCTTTTCTTTGCCAAGTTTAGAATTTTTTGCATTTTTTGTGATTTTAACAATTTGAGGGTGTTTTTTATAATTTTTAGAACTTTAGTAGCATTTAAAAAATTTAAATTTTAAGTTTTGTATTTTTAATTTTCATATTTCATGTGTTGATGGTAAGTTTTTAAATGTTAGGATATTTCTCGCAACTCTAAAATTTTAAGGGCGTGTTTTGCAATTATTAAAAACTTTTAGGTTGTTTTTTATAAACTTCTAAATTTTCAGCAGTCTATTAATGATTTCTAGATTTGATATGTAATGGTTATACGTTTTGAAATTTTAGGTTTTTTGTGATTTCTAAGTTTTGAGGAATTTTTTACAATTTTTATAACATTGAGGTTTTTTTTGTAAATTTTTAGTTTTAACCGCCTGATGGTAATCCTTGAGTTTGAGGGTGTGTTTTTGCAATTTTTGAAACTATCATAGTATTTTTTGTAAATTTTAAATTTAACTTTGGTATTTGTAGTTTTTATGTTTCATATGTTAGTGGTAAGTTTTTAAATGTTAGGATATTTTTTTGCAACTCTAAAATTTTGAGTGTGTGTTTTGCAATTATTAAAAACTTTGGATTTTTTTGTAAAATTTAAAATTTATTGGTATACTAATAATTTTCAGATTTGATGTGTACTGGTTATAAAATTTGAAATTTTATGGACTTTTTTGTGATTTTTGCTTTTGAGGGAATTTTTATAACATTGAGGCTTTTTTCAAATTTTCAAATTTTAAGTGCATGGTGATAACCCTTTGAATTAATCTGTGTTCTTTGCAAGTTTTGAAAATTTAAAGTTTTAGGGTGTTTTTTGTAATTTAAATATTTAAGGTTTTTTCTATATTTTTTGAAATTTTGAGTGTATTAATTGTAAATTTAAAGTTTTTTGGAGTCTGTTATTAATTTTAAGATTCTATATTTGTTGCTTTAAGTTTTGAAAAGTCACGATATTTTACGTAATTTTAAACTTTTGAGGGTATTTTGTATAATTTTTAAAATTGTTTGGATTTTTTGAAATATTTCATGTATTATAATATGTTAGCTATGTATGATTTCTTAATCTTATTTTTTAAATTATTGAGGTGTACTTAAGGCCTGTTTGGATTTGTAGGGGGTGAAGGGAAGTTAAGGGAAACTGAGTGAAGGGAAGGGAAGGGAAGGGAAGGGAAAAGAATTCCCTTCCCCTTGGTTACATCCCGATTTGGGGGTAACAATTTATATACTATTAGGGGGTGAACCAAGGGGAACTAGGGTGAATTAACTTCACCTCCTAAGTGTTCCCAAACAAGATGAATGGAGGTGAATGGTTCTCCTAACTTCCCTTCACCCTCATTCCCTTCAATCCAAACAAGCCCTTAGTTCACATTACTATGTGATATAATTAGTATTAGAATATATTAAGATTTAAATAAAATATTCAAAATAGTGTTTCATGTATATTATTAATTTTTTAATTATTGAGCTATACCTGGTTCACGAGATTAGTAAAAATATAATTAGAATTAGGATAAATTAAAATTTAAATAAAATATTTAAAATAACGAAGGATAATATAGAAGAAAAATTTGCAAAATAGACCTATTTTATTACATAATTAGCAAAACAGATCGTTTTGCTAAATATTTAGCAAAATAGACCATTCGAAACATACATGACTAGTAGTCCCATATGACATTAAATCATACAGGACTACTAATCTCGTATGTTTCGAATGGTCTGTTTTGGTCTGTTGGCAAAAAATAAGATTTATTTTGCTAAATATTTAATAAAAAAGTATGATTTGCTAAATATTTTGTAAAATAGGTCTATTTTGCAAATTTCTTCTAATATAGATGGACAGTAAGTGTAATTTACTTCTTTTTACCTTTTTAGGTTTAATCGGGCCTACGTTTCTCAAAGCCCAAACACCAAGGTGTAATCCAAAGCCCAGGCCCAGGGCCAATTACATTCTATAAAATCCTCAGTTCAAGGGTGGCGATTTTCTCTTGCTCAAATCAAATTAGGGTTTTGTGTTCTCGCACGAAGAGGAGAGAGCCTCAGCCGCCGCCGATCAAAGAAAATGGGTAAAAAGAACATCGAAAACCCTAAGATCTCTCGTTTCGATCCTTAGCTGTAGTCTCTAATGGCCGTTACCGTTTGGATTTCGTACAGGTATCTCACGTGATTCCATGCACAAGAGGAGGGCCACTGGTGGCAAGAAGAAAGCTTGGAGAAAGAAGCGAAAGTGAGTGGCCTATAGCTTTTCTCTTTTGCAAACCCTAGATCTGTTAGGGTCTAGATCTGCGTAATTTATTGGTGACATGGATTGGAATTAGGTTTTTTTTTGGATTACTAGAATGCAGATTTACTAGAAAATTGGTTTTTTCAATGAATTATTGTAGTTTGGGTCATCAAGCTGTAACTTTTCATGTTTATAGGCATTGTGCTGATGATTTAATGTTTTGCAGCATTTTCATTCTATCATAAATTTAATAAAGTTCATTTTGTGGGTAATGAGGTACGCGTGTACTTGTGAAGTTGTATTTTTATAACTTGTCATGCTAGTTTAAGTCCTCAAGTTATAATTTTTCATGTAGAGGCATTGTTCTAATGCTGGTTTGTTCCTTTGCCATATTGATTATATGCTTGGGTCGATTAACTTAAAGGAAATGCATGGATTTGATGATTATGATGCATTATAGCTTAGTTTTTGATGTTGATACATATCATGATTTGATCTCTCACGGCATTTGCAAGTTGTGTTTGGCTTGTTAAGTTCTTTTTTGTGCGTAACTAGTTACATGCCTTCTTGTGAAGTTGTATTTGTACAGCACATCACATTAATTAGAGTCTTCAATTTTATTTTAATATTGTTGTACTGTTGCATGGTTTCACATGCATATTGAGTTTGTTCTTACTTCAACTCATAAAATTGCATGCATTTGATAATTTGTTAATGTTGCATTATTTCTGTATTTTTCCTACTGCAATGTTTCTTATGATTTATCAATTTTACTAGATATGCAATTTGTCTTATTAAGCTTTTTCTGATAATTAGTTACGCATATGCTTACAATTTTCTGGCCAGTTGAATTATCATGATTTGTTCTTTACTGCAATTGCTAGATTCCTTAATTCATTTTAATTCAGTACATAATTGCTAATCCTGAGCTAATCTGGAACTATTTAGTAATCTCAGATGCTATAAAATATTGCATAACTCATCTGCAGAAACCATCGATTATTGGTGTTATTGTTTACTTCGATATAGTAGGCATACTCTGCTAATTCTTTTTCTGAGTGATATCTTAATGAGTGTTTCTTATTCTTTACTTGGAAAGGTATGAGTTGGGACGGCAACCAGCTAATACAAAGCTATCCAGCAACAAAACCGTGCGCAGAATTCGGGTCAGAGGAGGAAATGTCAAGTGGAGGGCACTCAGGTTGGATACGGGTAACTACTCATGGGGAAGTGAGGCAGTGACTCGCAAGACCCGTATTCTTGATGTGGTGTACAATGCCTCCAACAATGAGCTTGTCAGGACACAGACTCTAGTTAAGAGCGCTATTGTTCAAGTTGACGCTGCTCCATTTAAGCAATGGTACCTTCAGCACTATGGGGTTGATATTGGAAGGAAGAAGAAGACTACTGCTGCCAAGAAGGAAGCTACTGAGGTATCAACATTCTCTTCTTTGTTATTATGCATCAATTTTTTCTTTCAGTTTGCTTTGGGTCATTACTTACATTTTTCTGATGTGCTAATCTATCCCCTTGCTCCTCTTTGATTAGGAACTCTTATAGATCAAATAAAACTTAATTAGTAAGACTGCGTCACACATATATACGTTTAATAAATAGTAAAAATTAGTTGACTTAGGAATAATTAAGTAATTCAATTAAAAAGCATATTAATTTTATCAAGACTAGGAATGACTGTTAAGCCTAATAATAATCATAACGACTGGAAACATTATGGCTTATGCGATACTTTTATTAGAGATATCGTGGTAAACTAATCTCTATTTTTAACTTCATCTTTCATAGGACTTTAATTGCATAATTGTTGATTTGGGATAAATAATTGGGATGCCATATGCCTCTTTTGCAAATTCTTGTGCTTAATTTGGTATTTTATTGTAGCCTATCAATTATTGTTTTTGATATTTTGTTTTCAACGTTTGAATGACTTCCATCATATGCTTCTGCTCTAATCGTGTATTAATAATTTATGTTGGAGCTTGAAAACTCAGAATTCATCATGCTTTTAAAGTTAGGTTTTGTATTTTTGACAAATTTTTTCTTAGTAAAGTTGGTTGTCCATGAGTTCCATTGTTAACTAGGTTTAATGCGAACATTGGTAAGGAAGATCAGAAAAATGCTATTTTTATGAACCCAACAAAAGAAATTTGTTGGTCTATTATAAGTGGAGGTTTTTTAATGCTTTCTGATATTAGAAATATGCATATGCTACATGATAGGTCTTTTTATGGTTGGAAGTATGATATAGACTTGTCAAAGCATTGTGTCTCTTCATCAAAAGTTGGGTAAATGTAATTAAATGTGTAGAAGCCTCAGCATTTGATATAGTGTTCCGAAGGTTGGTTTTCACAGTGTCCGAGAGTTAGCAATCCGTTTATCTGGCATTTGACTTTATCATGTTACAGGATCATACTTGTTTTGATTTCGATCATTTTTTCCCTCTAGCTTTTTAATAACCTTGGGGGATCATGAAGGTTAATTTATTGCATGGCTCTGATATTTTGATCCTCCTTAGTTGGACATCGACCTACTTTTTATTGCTTTTATTTATTATCTGAAGCAATCATAGAAGTGTTGACACTGAGTATCATTTAACAGAATAGATATTGAGGAGTATTTTAAAGTTCTCTATTGATTTGTTCTGAAATAACTTGCTAATTTACGTTGTTTTTTTAAAATTGTTCCAACTTTTACATAGAACTAATCTTTCTACTCTTATTTATCTTGCATGGTTAATGCTTTTTTACTTGAATAGTATACTGGTTGATGTTGTTAACTAGATATTCATCTTACTCCTAATCTGTTGCAGCAACAAAACATTTTCTTCAAGAAGGGATATCAGTGCAATATTACACTAAAATAGCATTTTTTGTTATAATTGTTCCAGTAAGAGTGATTTGAACCGTACATAAGGCATTACCTTGTGTTTTTGTCTTTGTTGTTTTGTATTTGGCCCACGCTGACAGTACCAAATTTTGCATTCAACTTAGTAGGGCGATCTGATGATTTTGCTAACTAGGTTATAAATTGTCACTATAACTCGGTAAAGTTATTAAGTGTGCCAGCAACGCTGCATAGATCTATCAATCTAGTCTAAAAACACCTTAGAGAACCTACTGAGTACTACGGTGTTTAGCGTTCCTTATTTCTTTGGCAGAGGGTCGTTTTTTCATGTAAGCATATGTTACCTTATCATTTATCTGTCCATTTCCTCACTTTTTCCTTTTCTTTGGTGATATTTACACATTTAGGAGGCTGATGCCGCCGCGGCAGCAGAAGAAACAAAAAAGAGTAATCATGTCGTTAGGAAGTTGGAGAAGCGTCAGAAGGAGCGCACCCTAGACCCTCATATTGAGGAGCAATTTGGCGGTGGAAGATTGTTGGCTGCCATCTCTTCTCGCCCTGGACAGTGTGGCAGAGCTGATGGGTAAGTGATCACTCTTTTCTCAATTTCTCGTATTTTTTTTGGTAAATAAATACTATGTAGGTTTCTCTGTAGTTAAATCATATAGGAGGAAGGAGACCTTCAAGTGTCCCAATAGTTGGTGATGGCGCTGTACTAGTAGTCTGATTGCGTTGATAATTATTTTTGGTGCTTGCACTGATACATATCTCTTAGTGTACTGATTTTGGGTTTCTGTTATATACGGACCTATCTTTGTTAATTCTATATTAATATACTAAATATTCACATTTCTAAATTAGACCTCCCGAGTCCATCTAGTTGTTTTAAGTAAGTTATTCAAATCTATTAAGTTGTTTTAGGTAAAACCCTCATTCCATACAAATATGAAGATATGGCGGTCTAATATATAAGAACTAACAAAGATTCGGGGTCTAATATGCTAAAACCCCATGATTTTTAATAGATTGATCCCTTCTTTTCCTACTTTCTTTCCCTGGTAACTGCTTGTTTTAGGGTTTTACATGAAGAAGCTCCAGAGGAAGAAGGGCAAGGGTGGTGCTGGAGCTGCCTAAGTATAACCTCTTGTTCTGCAATTTTCTTTAGAGAGAGAATTTCGGATGGTAGTCTTCTGTTTCGGGAATTTTTGATATGCACTAAAAACTTCTGTAGTTGTCTGCTGCAATTAGAACCAAGTGTTTCTTTTCTGGGGTAATAGACCTAATGGAATGTGGTAATTTATTTGTTAATGGGCACATCTTGACTTTGTTGCTAGTTGAGATACTCGTATGGCTCTTGCTTTACTTTCTTCTCGTCCAATTATCTGGAAGTTTCACCTTAAACTGGTGTGCTGATGTTTGATTGATTTATCTATCCGACCTCATTAAGGCTTACTGAAAAATGCTTCGTCTAGTTGCCGTATGAATTTGCCCTTTTGGTAGTTACACGGGGCTTTTAGTCTACGGCTTGTAGGTTGTATCTATTCACCTGATTTAATGTTCGTGATATTGTTTAGTATGCCAAGGAATCACTGTTGTGTAAATGTTTTACTGCTTGCCCCTGCTAAGACCATCATCAGGAAAAGGTATGAGCTTCGAGTCTTTCTTGTAGATTTTGGTATCTTGAGCTTATATTACGAAGCTTGTAATCGTCGTTATTGCCGCAAGGTATAAGCTTCAGAGTCGTTCTGCATAAAACTTTGCCAACTGATCCGCTTTCAATGTTTCAAACGGCTAAAATTTGTTGAGGGGTTTGAAACATGTGCTTACAATTTGTGGGTTAAAAGTCGAGCAATGTTATTAATGTTTACCTTTTAGATAAAGCAGCAGTTTCTGATTTGCTTGGAATTTTAAGTGAGGCTTTTTAATTTAATACGATCTCTAATGAGAATTCAAAACCCACGTTCTATTCCAGTAGGATGAGATCTCCAAACTAAATGAAGGTTTCTTAATTTAATACGATCTCTAATGAGATTTTGAAACACGTACTTAATATTTGGGGTTGTTTGGTTGCACACTTTTTGAGAAAATTTTTCTCAAAACATCTGACAATAGCAAATTTGTAATTAAAAGTTTTTTAGAGATTTTTGTAAATTGTGTTTGGTTCAACAAAAAATTTACAGAAATGTTTTCTATAAAATATCAAAACCTACCAAATTTTACAAAAAGCAATTTCCTCTCAAAATGAGAGGAAATCTCTAGAAATCTGACACATATCATATTTAATTAAAAACCTACCAAATCTTGTTATTTTCTATAAAGGTATGAGCTATTTTCTTGTTTTGAACCAAATAAGCAAAGTACAAAAAGCAAGAAAATTTGTATTTTTTGATTTTTCAAAACTTTTTCTATAATTTTTTTTTAGGAAATACAAGGAAATCATATTTTAGGTGGAAAATATTTCCTATAATTTCTAGAAATTGAACCAAACACCCCCTAAGGATAAGATCTCCAAACTAAATGAGGAAAGGCGTTCGGTTTATGTTAGGATGAGTAGTTTAGGAAAATGATACATTGTCAATAACCCTACCTCTACAAGGTTATGAAATCGTACGCTTCCAAGGAAAATGATACATTGTCAATAAAAAAAAAACTTGGTTCTGATGTGGTACAAGTGAAATCTCGAATAAAAAGTGAAAAAATCAATATGGGTTGGCAGGATCTCCCGAGTGATGTAGCAGGGACGATACTCGACCGCCTTCCGATCTCCGACCAAGTCCGTTTCGGGGCCGTGTGTCGAGCATGGCTATCGATACAGAGAGACCAATATCACGGTCACGTTCCTCCTCTTCCTCGGCTGCTCCGTCTCCCTCTCCTCATCCCCCCTCAACAAGAACAACAAGAAGCTACGATGGCATGTTACAGCCCTTTCGAGCAAAGATTCTACAGGTTCCATCTCTCTTTTCCGATTGCTGGCCTTCGCTGTTTATGTTCCTCCCACGGTTGGCTTCTCCTCCTTGACTCGCACCGTGACTACGCGGCCCTCACCTTGGCGAATCCTGTCTCTGGCATCCAAATAAAACTCACCGATCTCTATACTTCCCGCTACTTGTTCTCCGGATGCGTGTCCTCCCCTCCTGACGATCCTTCTTGTTGTGTGATTGTCGCCGGCACCAGTTCGGCCTTCTTGTGGCGAGCAACCCACCCTGGGCGGTGGACCTATTTAAAGGAATTGCCAGATTGGTGGTGGATAACCTCGATCGTCTTCTGCAAAGGACGCTTCTACTGCAGACATTCAGGCGGAAGGGTATTAGCTGTTGATCCATGCCTGCCTCCTCCTACTAATACCAGCGTTTATGGTATGAGAAGGTACCCGAGGAGTGATGATGAGGTTGCGTGGGAAATCTTGGCCGAGTCTGACGGGGACTTAATATTGGTTGACGCTGTAGCGTCGACGGGCACAACAATAATAAGAGTGTTCACACCTGATTTTCGTTCCAAGATTTGGTCGAGAGTTGGAAGTCTCGGTGGCCGAGTGCTGTTTCTAAGTAAAAACTGCTCGGTTTCGATGGAAGTAGCAGATGGTCAGGAGGAGGATTGCGTATATTTTCCTGGGTCTCTGTTTGGTCGGTTTTGGAAACGGAATTGGAGTCCGTGGATGAAATTTGAGTTGAAGACGGGTAAGATGGTTCATGGCGGAGTTCCAGAGAGCATGATCCCTGAATATATCGGATCAAATTTCTTGAAAAATAGACTACTTTGGATCTCTCCAACAGTATCATCTGTCGCAGTGTTGCGGAACGTTAAAGATGACGCCGCATCCATCTCAATGACGTGGGACGCTAAAGGGGGCACATCCATTGCAATGATGCGGGACGTTAAAGATGACGCATCCATCGCAATGACGCAGGACGTTAAAGACGACGCCGTTAGGTCTGAGGGTTATCTGACAAAACTGTATTGGCGTTGTGTGCCATTTTTAATAGTTTTTGTTGTTATTCCGAAATTGGCAAAAAATGCCAAAAGTTAAGGGGCTGATGTGAAATTTACTCTTGTTCTAGGCAAAGTTTTCAATCTCTAGAGAGTATGAACCTACGAAGAACATGCGACTCCATCCTTCTCCTTTGATATTCATTTTGTTTGTGGTGTTTCTCGTGTAAATCACTGAACAAGTTGTTAGAAGGCATCTAGACATGACCGTCCCGATAACCCTCCGATGCTTAAGCAATGATTATGGGAAAAAAGTGGAAATCTTCTCAAATTGAGAATGAATTGGACTTAGGTTTAGCTTGTCATTTATTTTGTATTGGCTCGAGGGCTAGATCGGGTAAATAGGGAAGTCTACGTGGCATCATCTAGTCAATCTAGGTTATCCATGAAGAAACTTCCTTCATAACTATATTGTTCAAATGCTCCTCTGTCATTTGTTAACGCCCGTGATAATACTGTTGTACCCACGCGTATTAATTAGGACTGTACCAAAGTCACTTGAGGGGAGAGTGTGCCCGCATTGCCTGGTTATTGAGCACTCATTCCCTTTATAATAAGAGTTCTCTTGCTTCAACATTGATCTAAATGATTATGAATACCATCCTCAATTACATGAACACCTGCATATGTGACAGAGGATTTAATATATCAGGACAACCAAACTGCCTTTATTACTCATCAAACCTCCTCCAAGACTGTAGATAGCAGTTGGTAGAGTGAACCATCAGCCAACTCAGAGAATTGAAGCGCTAGAAACATTACAAAACATTCTGAGTTTTTCTTGCGTAATAACTATTGCCCTGGTTATACTATCCATCAACCATCACAAGGCAATAATTGGTGGATAATACCTTCAATCTGAACCTGGTAAAAACATATTTGCAGTACAAAATACCCATATAGCAGTTAGCCAGTACTGGGCTCAACTTTAGTAACAGAGGCTGTGCTTCTTAAATTCTAAGAAAAAACTTTAGTAACAGAGGCTAATCTTTAGTACAAAATACCAGCATATCAATTGACCATCATGTTCAAGTCCTGAAAAAGCTCCTCAAGTTTCCATGATAGAACCACCAGTACCCTTCACTGGCATTTAAGAATTCACGGTCGTATAAGAGAATGTTATATCCGTAAGTATTGACACTATACGCCAATTATATCGTAAGTACTGACACTATACACCAATTACAAATATTGAACTTTCTTTGATATGCTTTCGCTCCTCCCAATATGCTCTATTGTCTTCCATTTGCTCTAATCTTCCATTTGACCTGTGTGTTAAATGCATAGTTTAGTACAGAATACAAATCAAAACCAACAATGTTATCGTTGAGCTTTCACTTCCATATCATGGACATAAATATAGAGATGACTCCTAAAACCTGACTGAACTAATTAGTTTATAGATTATCACTTCTAAATGGGGCTTAAGGTAATAGCTTCTTGGCTCCATTCCAAGTGATACCGGATAACTAAGACGAACAAATAGGTTTTGCATCCAAGTAGCAACTTTACTATCAACTATCATGTGAAGTTTTAAACCTCTCTAAGAAATACCCTCAGAAATGGAACTTCGTTAATCTACCTCAAAGTTACAATTATTGTAAGCGGCGAAAACTTCTAGGGCCTATAATGTCATGCAACACGAAATAAATGCATGACCGAACATTTCGAAAATGAAATTTAGCCTACAAGTATCCTACATTAGGAGAGGTACCTTAACCAAGATCATGCACAAGATATGCTTAAAGCGATCCACTCCGCGCCCTTTCTCCAAACAGTCCAGTTGTGGAACTCGCAAATGGAAGTTGAAGCAGCCCGCATGTCCATTGTACCTGTGCTGAGCCTGAAAAAAGCCGGGGACAAGTTGATGTAGTTGATCCTGTTTGCTAGTGAAGAACAAGAGTAGGCATTGCTGATGACAAGGATCTTTTTATTGCTAAGACCGTAAATCTCAACCCACTTGTTATTCTTGAGATCAGCCTGAAACAGCTGAAAAGAGCTGATTGACTGGGGGTCTGCACTGTTCTTGTGAAGGATAGCAGCATGCACCCGTGTGTTGGATTCAAACAGTAGCTGAATTGTTGTCTCTTCTGCCGGAAGGTTGTCCCCGTCCATGTCCAGGACCTCCACGGAAAGTGCACCATCCTTATGACCAACAAGGATAAGACGTCTCATTGAGCACAGGCAATAAAACCTTCTACCATAGAACAGTATGTTGGTGATTTGGCCAGCTTCGAGCCAAGTACCACTGTGCTTCCACTCTCTGTGTTTCCTTTCCCCTTTGCCTGGCACTAAAGGTTTATCGCCCTTCACGATGCAAAGTGAGAAAAAAGTTCTGTAGACCAACAGAACTTCCGGGAAAACAGCTGGGCTAGATACAGCTCCAAACAATGGCGATTGAATTCCAGGTATTTTCGGGAGTTTCTCTAACTCTTTCGTCAATGCGTGCATGATGTAAATACGAGTCATCCTTTCCAAATTCTGCTTATTAGATAAAATGTCAGGAAGGAGCTTTAACCCACACCTCCTTTCCATCAGGACTAAGCATCCCGATGAATATGACAGTGTGTGGCGGTCCACAAAGACGCCCCCATTGCAGTAGCAGAACTCTCGAAAAGCACTGACACACGGTCTTTCAGGATGATCTCCGTTCATTTGATACAACCAAGGTATTGGGGTGACATCAGCAATGGGGTAAACCGCTTGGCAACACATTGAAATCGTACGTACGAAGCAGGTGGCAGATGCCTCAAAGTCCGGTCCAAAATATCAAATGCCACTTCAGGACTCCTTTCACCATTTGAACCCTCTCTTCCACCACTTTCATCATTTGAACCCCTTCCTGTCCTTAATGTGAGGGACATCTGGATGCTAGGTGGATGACTGTTGAGAACAAGCTTAAGCTTAAAATCCGTAGGGATTGTTCCTGTCAAAAGAAATGGTTCCTAATTAATCATTCATCTTGGTTGAATCCAAGTTGCCCAAAACTTTTTTGACTTCAAGCCTTTTGAACCCCAGAACTTTCCTACTCAGTGCAATCTAAACTCTACATTGTAATTAAGTGTCAGTATTGTCCTAGTTGCATAGAGAAACCAACAAAAAGCAAGAAATAATCGAGACACGTTACCGTGAGGCACCCAAGTGACAATAGGAAATAGGGTTGTGCCGAAACTCATTTACTACGTGGCTACGAGCAATAATTTGACAGATACACAGTAGGATATCATCTAGTGCAAACAAAAACTTGGTGGCTGAGTTAATATTGCGATGACCGATCATGACATTTGGTTTTAGGCCCTAAGATGAAACTTTAATTAACCTTTAAAAATCATAGCTACCCGATGCAATATAAGCTTCAGATTATGCATATAAATGCTATATCATCAGAATGCACGAAACAGAACAACAGTACTGTAAATAAAGACGAACAAATTAAGTGCAATGCTACCACTGTATGTTGTGATGAAAGATAATTAGCTGGTGTTATCATATTGTGTTCCGGAACATCACTAACTAGAACAATACACATGAAATAGGAAATTGGAAAATATATATTAAGTCAGTAGGCATTATGGGAGCAGATATATGAAACAATAAAGGTACATGAGAGCATGTCCCATTCATAATCAACATCATATTGAAATTTATAACAGGGAAATGATAACACTCAAACAAGTCCATTACAATCAAGAAGACGTAATTTGTATTTACAACACAATCACATCACAAGTCCATTACACTCACATTCACCCTAGTAATGAAATAGGTGGAAAATTACTGAATAAACATTTGTAAAACCTAATTAAACACTGGAACTAAGAAATTCCAGCAGATTTCTAGAAATTCCAGCAAATTTGTATTTAAAACAAGTCCATTACAATCAAGAAGACTTAATTTGTATTTAAACACAAGCACATTCACCCTAGTAATGAAATAGGTGGAAAATTACTGAATAAACATTTGTAAAACCTAATTAAACACTGGAACTAAGAAATTCCAGCAGATTTCTAGAAATTCCAGCAGATTTCTAGAAATTCCAGCAAATTTGTATTTAAAACAAGTCCATTACAATCAATAAGCCTTAATATGTATTTAAACACAATCACATTCACCCTAGTAATGAAATAGGTGGAAAATTACTGAATAAACATTTGCAAAACCTAATTAAACACTGGAACTAAGAAATTCCAGCAGATTTCTAGAAATTCCAGCAAATTTGTATTTAAAACAAGTCCATTACAATCTAGAAGCTATAATTTGTATTTAAACACAATCATATTCACCTAGTAATGAAATAGGTGGAAAATTACTGAATAAACATTTGTAAAACCTAATTAAACACTGGAACTAAGAAATTCCAGCAGATTTCTAGAAATTCCAACAGATTTCTAGAAATTCCAGCAAATTTGTATTTAAAACAAGTCCATTACAATCAAGAAGACTTAATTTGTATTTAAACACAAGCACATTCACCCTAGTAATGAAATAGGTGGAAAATTACTGAATAAACATTTGTAAAACCTAATTAAACACTGGAACTAAGAAATTCCAGCAGATTTCTAGAAATTCCAACAGATTTCTAGAAATTCCAGCAAATTTGTATTTAAAACAAGTCCATTACAATCAAGAAGACTTAATTTGTATTTAAACACAAGCACATTCACCCTAGTAATGAAATAGGTGGAAAATTACTGAATAAACATTTGTAAAACCTAATTAAACACTGGAACTAAGAAATTCCAGCAGATTTCTAGAAATTCCAACAGATTTCTAGAAATTCCAGCAAATTTGTATTTAAAACAAGTCCATTACAATCAATAAGCCTTAATTTGTAGTTAAACACAATCACATTCACCCTAGTAATGAAATAGGTGGAAAATTACTGAATAAACATTTGTAAAACCTAATTAAACACTGGAACTAAGAAATTCCAGCAGATTTCTAGAAATTCCAGCAGATCTGTATTTAAAACAAGTCCATTACAATCTAGGAGCCTTAATTCGTATTTAAACACAATCACATTCACCTAGTAATGAAATAGGTGGAAAATTACTGAATAAACATCTGTAAAACCTAATTAAACACTGGAACTAAGAAATTCCAGCAGATTTCTAGAAATTCCAGCAGATCTGTAAAACCTAATTAAACACTAGAAATGCAATGGGGAAAAAAATCACCGAATAAACATCTCTAAATCTAATTCGAAACGTATCAATCACATTTTACAGAGTCAAATTCCACAAGAAAATCAATCTTACCACCCATTTTTGTTCTTCTCTCTCGCCTTCTTTCTCTTTTTCCCTCTCTCTCTCTCGCGCGCGTCTTCTTCGTTCTTGAATTTTGAGTGAAGAGGGAGAGTGGGGGTTTTATAGCCCTTAGGACGAGGGAAGCCTTTATTAAACCCACAACGTCTATTTACGATCATGCCCTTCTTGTTCTGAAGCTGGACTTTATGCGAGAGTTTGATACTCTGTTGTTCCCAATTTTATCGGATGTTTCAGAAAATGCCTTATATAGAGTTTTTATTTATTATGAGTTATTTAGATTATTTCTTTTTTCTAGAAATCATCTTAAAAATAAATAAGTCTCTTATGTACGGAATCCATGTTTTATTTTTAATTTATACCTAAATTATTTTTAAATTGGGTTCGTGTTATCACCAATTACATCCTAGTTAAAATTTTCACCAGAAATCTAAAAGCCTTAAACTCTCATTCAAGACACGTGACCGACCTTGATATTTTTAAATTGGGTTCTTGTTATTTTTAAGGTTACTTTTTATTTTTTTTAGTTAAATTATGAATAGGAGGCGGTTGATTGGAAAAGAAATACCTCCTTTAAACGTGGTTTAGGTATAAATTGAAAATAAATTGTGATTTCAATAAAATAATCCTATTTTAAAGGCCGTTTCTAAGGGGGGAAACTCCGTTTAGTATTCATCCCTCAAATCTTTAGAATTGCTTATTAGTCCCTCAAAACCTAAGGCGTCTTACAATTATGTTCCTCAATGACCACCATACCCTTCAGTTTCAAATAAGGGATTACTACGCCCTATTATCCTAAAGTTTACACATATATTTTTTAAATATGATAAATTTAAAGTTTTTCTGACACGTGAAGTTAATATATACCTATTAACTTTGATACGCTAAAACTTTGCTTTTGAAAGTTTAATACCCTAAAATTTAGGTATCGAAGTTGAAAAATATATAAACTTTGAGGTATTAAAGTTTAAAACTTTTAGAAACTTTGGGATATGAAAGTTAAACCAGCATAAATTTTAGGGTATCAAAGCGTCATTTAAAAAAGTTGAACTTTAATAACTTTTGAGTGCCAATTGCAAATAATATTTAAGAAAACATTAGTGGAATAACATTTTTGTCTTTAAGGGACCAAATTGTTACCCAAAGAATTTGAAGGGTTTTCGAGCAATATCAAAGATTTAGGGGACTAACATGGAACAATTGAAGATTTGAAGGGCGAACGAACTTTAATAACTTTTGAGTGCCAATTGCAAATAATATTTAAGAAAACATTAGTGGAATAACATTTTTGTCTTTAAGGGACCAAATTGTTACCCAAAGAATTTGAAGGGTTTTCGAGCAATATCAAAGATTTAGGGGACTAACATGGAACAATTGAAGATTTGAAGGGCGAACGTCACTAATTTTGGTCGTTAAATAGTAGATTACTTGTAGTGGCATGTAAAAATTTTATTATCATACTCCCTTTAAAAGCACGAGTTCGGAAAATCTTTTTTAGACAAATATACCCCTTTATAGTTTGAACTACCTTATCTATAATCAAATTCTAATTTTCAATGGTCAATATTACCCTTCACTATTTTGAATATTTTATTTATATCTTAATCTATCCTAATCATAATCATATCTTATCCTAATCCTATGTGAACCATGTTTAGCTTAACAATTTTAAAAAACTAATATTAATAAAATATATAAAACATAAAAATGATATTAGTTTGTTAAGATAAAGAAATTACAAGTAGATAACATATTATAATACATGAAGTATTGCAAAAAACCATAAAAAGTTTTAAAATTGCAGAAAAGACCCTGAAAAGTTTAAAATTATAAAAATCATCCCAATGTTTCAAAACTTAAAATAAAAAACATGAAATTAAAAAATTAACATCAGTTTGCAAAGAATTTAAAATTTACAGTTAACACCTCAATGTCTCAAAAATTATAGAAACACCCTCAAAAGTTTAAATTACAGACAAGCACATTAAAATTCTAAAATTTTAAAACTTACAAACAACACAGATGAATTCAAGAGATTACCATGATACACCTAAAATTTTTGACATTTAAATTTAAATTTTTTAATTAACACCCTCAATATCTCAAAAATTATAGAAACACCTTCAAAAGTTCAAATTATAAAAAGCCACCCTAAAATTCTAAAATTTGTAAATAAAATAAGATGAATTCAAGATATTACCCTTAGACACCTAAAAAATTAAAATTTGCCAAAATTAACTTCAAAATTTTTAAAAAACTCCTTCAAAATTTAAAAATCGTAAAAAAACTCTAAATTTTCAAAATTTTTAACTAGCACACATCAAATTCGTCGATTGGTAGACCGCTGAAATTTAATATTTTTCAAAATTAATCTATAGTT